GCGGTTCATAATATTTTTGTAATTGTCACTTTATGCATGTGACGGATGAAAAGCGAAAGCAAACCCTCGGAGACTGAATTGAAAACTAAGGAATTCACTATATATATATATATATATATATATATATATATATATATAATAGATAATTTGGCACTGAGTGGATTCTTTTTAAAAGGAAAGAAAAAACAGCCATCCGCCAGTATATACTGAAACTGATTTTTGCATTGCACAAATAACTGAAATAGAATTAATACTACTGATATGAACGATATCAGCTAAAAAATGACGATCCGGAGAAAAAATTATTACCATGATTATTGCTTAGGATGCGCGTCAGATTCGATTTCCCATCACACATTGATGATACAGGTACATCTAGCTAAGGAGTCCCGAACAGATGTGGAACAGGCGTCTTGAAGACCAGCGCCAGTCACTGATGACGTGTTCACTACTCAGCAGTTCGCTCGGTCCTCCTTTATGGCTGTGAAACACGGCCATTGAAAGTGGAAGACATGAAAAGCCTAGCTGTCTTTCATCATAGGTCTATGCGTTCTGTCTCCCGTGTTAGATGGTATAATACGACGAGTAATATTGAGGTTAGGCGTCGGGTGTTAGCTAAGGAGGGAGCTACATCGATTGAGATGGCTAGAATATGTGTTGCGCATGCCATGTCATCACCTTCCTTAACGGGAAATGTTAACTGACATAGGACCCGATTGGCATACAGCTAGTGGTGGTCACACCAAAACTTGCAATCAATCCATGAAATCTTTGATAGCTGGTTTGAGCCACATAGGGAGGTGTGTTGACTGTCAAGTCGGAGTCCTCCGGATACTAAGAACCAATGAAGGCTGGAGACGATTGATGATACGGCTCGAAATCGTTCTCCATGGCGCGAATGCTTTCACTGTATATAATCTCCCAGATCCATTAACCTCAGTTGTTTTTCCATGTTACTATTCCTTCTCCCGTAGGTTTCTACTTACGGCAGTTTGTTTGAATTTCCTTTTTTCTTTTTGCCACCAAACTGTGCTAAATGGAGTCTGGTAACTTGTGAAGATTTCTATGTTGAAGGCCAGCCAGGTAGTCAGTGTTTATCAATATACTTATTATACGCTCCTGGTGTTGTACATTCTACCCTTTGACTTATGAGTAATATTAACTGTCAAGTGAAATTGTTATCTCTCAATCATCACACATCTTTGATAAGAAGATAGGCAAGCAAGGATACAGGCGTTATATATATATATATATATATATATATATATGGACGGGTAGACAGCTAAGCCTAATCACTTGCACTGTCTAGTACTAGAGGAGAAAAGAAGAAAGAACAGATTATGTAACAACCAGTGCTTATCCATAGGGCCAAACAACAACGACGACAACAAGAACAACTAAATATCACATTTTAAGGTCACTAGTCATTCAAGTGAACAATCAATGATAGCAATAGTAGTTAGTAGTGGTAGTAGGTCAGTGTCCTTAGATAAATAAAATATTACTTGTATTCATCGAACAAATAAGCAGAGGTTTTAATGAAAATTTAGTAATAGTAGTAGTAATAATAATAATAATAATTACTGTCAGTTAATAATTAAACTTTCAGTTGTCACAAAGAATTTGAATAATTAATAGTCGATTAGACTAGCAATGATGGTTTAAGTCAATACAAAAATCTGAATCATGATAAGATTTGAAACATCTGACTGTACTACTGTGCATAGCTCTGCGTTTAAACTCAGTCAGTAAGTTGACTGGGTTAGTGTTTAGTTGATTGAAGCACTACAGAGATGGCTGGGACAGTTGTTATTCAGCTCTTAATAACACGCCAGCCAGCTGAACGCCCCAGTGATTGAAATGAAGACTTAGGTCTTATTACACACACACACGCACACGCATATGGACTTTTATACTATGTTCTAAACTAGGATAGTAAAAAGAAAGATAAAGCCCCGAATGCATAGATTTACAAATGTTCCAGAGAGCTTTGATAACAGAATAAAACTGTTTTGTTCTACACAAGATAGATTTTATAACTTGACCCCCTCTCTCTTTCCCTTCCTGGTCCCACAAAACTAATTTATCATGAGCTGACATCAGTTAGAGAACCACTGGAAAACCTGGGAGTACTGGACAGCTGTTTCGTCCTAGTTTGGGACTCTTCAGCAGTACGCACCCACCGGGATTCGAACCCAGGACCTTCTGGTTACAAGGCGAGCTCGTAGACCATTGAGCCACTGGGACCCGATCCAATGGTCCTTGAATTCTAACTTCTGCCAATTCACGACATAGCGCGACCATTTCGCAATGTCTTCTTAGATGAGTTACTGTCACATCTTCAACCTGCTGTACCCTACTGGTCACGGCTTTCCACTAGAACCTCTCTCAATGGTCTACGAGCTCGCCTTGTAACCAGAAGGTCCTGGGTTCGAATCCCGGTGGGTGCGTACTGCTGAAGAGTCCCAAACTAGGACGAAACAGCTGTCCAGTACTCCCAGGTTTTCCAGTGGTTCTCTAACTGATGTCAGCTCATGATGAAATCCTCCATACAATCAAACAAAATCCCTACCAAACCAATACTTGAAAACTAATTTACTTAGACTATGTATGTATATATTTTAATTTACAAACTATTCCAGACTAAATTTAATAATTGAAAATGATAATAAAACTTCAACATTTGTGTTAATTACCTCTTGTAATTAAACTTTATCTGATTGATAGAATGAATAGCGGGTAACTAAGGTATGAAATTGTTTATAAAGCACTTAGAAAGTTTATACTCTGTTATTTGGTTGACTTTGGTTGATAGTAAAACCCAGGACTCACGTTTCATTCTACTTAGGACTAGTTAGTTGGATGTATCTGAATCCTCAGAGAGTGATTGTACGCTTAATGAGGCTCAAGTATAGCAACCAAAGTGGAGAAAGCTTTGGAGTTTGAAATTGTGGGTTTCGGGTTTGAGTCTGAGCGGGACTTACTTTACTTTACTTTACTTCGGCTATCTCCTACGGGAGGATGAGCCGGCTTCATGAACATCTCGAATCATCGCTGCCCAGGCGCGGCGATCTGATGCAAGGTTTCGCGACAGGGTTATCCAATTCTTGTTCCACAGACGGAGTCCGTAGAGAGAGTTCATGAAGTTTCATGGGAATTTGGTACGAGTGATGTCCCCAGAATCGCTCGGCCTTTTCTTTGAGAGTGCAGCTCTAGCCTTTACACAACCAAGTGTGACCTACAAGGCAGTAGGAGTGGAGTAGGGAGTCCACTATCCATTGGCAGCCGGTGACCGGAGTTCGGTTCATACGCCTTTTTGAATGGGGCCAGACATCCAGGACATTCAACAAGCCCTTTGTCCATACGTCTGCCGGTGAGCTCCAGTGAGCTTCATACGCCAGTCGTTGGAGGTTTGGAATCAGGGTTTAGCCATCTCCCCTAGACTGTCATCCAATGGACAGTCAACCCGGTGAAGAGCGCGGGGCATCCGCTTTCGCCCTCTCACTTTGATGAAAAACACCTCCGCCACGTGAAGGCAGTGAGTAGGACTTCCTCAGGAGAGGCTATGTAAGACGCCCGGTCATATGGGAGCATTCCAAGAGGTGTGCGGAGGGGTGGCCAACCCGTAGCGCAAGGCACCCACTCCCGACCATTCTGAGGCTTTGGAGGCACACCATCACTTACCAGGGGATGCAGATGGGGAGTCCTGGAGAGGTTGAGGCGCGAGTTCGTGACTCTACTGCTAGCCACCATCAACTAAGTAACACCGTATTCATTTCAAGCTTCCATAATCGGGGTTGACATGTGAACAGAGACCAAACACTTCAGTCCAATATAATAAACCAAGGGGAAATTCGAAATAACCTCAAATAAGTTTACATATTGTGATGGTGAATTTAAAAACAAATTTAACTGATTTCTAGAGTATGAATATACTTCAAAAATAGTAGGAGTAATTGCAAAATAAAAATGAGGCTATGAAGGTAGGAAACACTGGAATCACACACAACATATGTCAAATAGTGAATTTAAAGATCCCTGATGGGATTATGGGCACAAACTGTTGAAGAGTCCCAAATGTGGGTATAAAAAAAGCCCCAGTGCATCCTGATTTTCAATGACTCCCTGAACAATGTCGGTTTATGGTGAAACCCACATGGTAATTTAACAAACGTATAAAACATAAAATAATAGTTAGAATAAACTTTCGCGTTCATTAACACATTAAACTCCTAAGGGCAATGAAATTTTTTAACAGATATGTTTCTGAACGACCACAACTTTTCTCAGTCTATCAATATGTAAATACACTAGCAAAACAGGCCTTTATAAATGATGGTCAACGTTGAATATGTCAGTGACCCAATAACTTAGCCTAGCTATTACAGCTTTTTCTAGGAGTCTCAACATATCGGAAAAGACAGTATCATAACCTGTAGGTAAAATTTTTATTGTGACAACAGTTTTGTATTTTCATCAAACAACCAGCATTCAAGCTATATTGTCTTCTTAGTAGAGGCAAGAGGGGTGGTATTTAAATGCATAACACCTGAATCTATTCCGAAGTTGCCGATAATAAGGCGACGGACAAAACTTTAAAAACCCACACATTTTGAATAACTTACGCATGCATGAAAGCAATTGCATAGGATCTGAGGTTATACAAAGGTAAATTTCATTCTCTTTCAGGTGTTACAACAAGACATCAACTTCATGCGTTTCCAACAGTGCACAAAACTTATCTAATTATTTTCTCAGTAATAAAGCAAATGAGTTAATCAGCAGAGATTTTCTTAATGTACTAAGTTATTAAAGGCACATGATGGGGCGAAGGTTTATGACTGACTATACTATGCTGCCAGTTGCAAATAATATGAAGTGTGTCTGAATTCAGAACCGACTTTTCTAACACCTAGGTACTAATTAACCTATTCAATACAAAACAGATCATTTCTGAAAATAAACCAATCACTTAAAGGATTTCAAGGAAAGTAACTCACGGAATCAGAATGCATCACGTTTGTATTTGATATTCCAATAGAATATGAGGGATTTGCATTTCCACTTCCAGAAGCTGCACTATCCACGGACATAAGGCTTGACTCACGACTACCCAAACGAGCGATATTGTGACGGACAGGAGATAAAAGAGACGGACAATTACTTCCACCACTTCCGCTATGTGAACTTGTTCCACATAGTGAAATATCTCCACTGTCACATACAGAGTTGCACCGCCCAACTGAATTGGTATCTCGACGAAGTTGAAATGGTAACATCATATCAGCACCATGACGACCAGATTCCGTATCACTTGAAGTAACACAACTTCGATTACCATTAGTCATGTATAAGGCACCCAAAACCTCATTACTAGTACTCGTTTTATCTCCAGAGTCAGATACAAACAATGACATAGTTTTATTACTCCCTCGAGAAGAAACTGAGATATCACGTCGTCCCATTCTCAACACAATCGACTCAACATCTTCAACCAACTGATTTGGGTATTCAGTTTCCTTTGTTAGTGCTCGAATAAGTTCATCCATGGTGGCTATTTCGTTTAACATACTTGATTGGCACTCCTGAAACGAAGATATAAGAACGACACAATACAATACCTTTAAATTACAACAACTAAAGAGGTTGATAAAGCCAGTCCTAGGAACGACATTGGATATAAATTAACGTTATTATACAAATGCTAGAGTAACTGCTATCTACACACTTTAATTAAGACAGACTGAGAACGTAAAATCCACTGACTTGAGAAGTTTAAAATGTATCGACCCAACTTAAAGGTTGCTGCTAAATGCTACTTATTTTCACAAATCCTCTTACCTGCTACCGTGCTTTCTGAGTACATACCTACTACACGCTGAGAAGAAAAATTATAAAACTGTTGTTATGCTTAAGAGCTTACGAACCACTAGTCTGGAGTTAAAACAATCGAGTATACGAACATCGGAAGGCACAGAAAACCCTAAACTTGATATTTCGTCCCTTATCGACTGTTCATCATACTATGGAAACAACATTATTAAGACAATATGTGGACACCATGTGCATCAAATGATTAAAACAAGATGGTTTATCATATGGATTATTGTTGTGCAATTAGTTGTGTTCTCTGAGCTGGTTGGTTTAATTGCGGACTACCAGTCACGAAGATGGTTGCCAGGAGACATAATTCTATCATTCATGGAGAATTTAAATCAGTTCATTTTATGCTAAAACTTGCGCTGAAGATGTTGTCCAGAAGGACGGCGAAAGCTCCGCAATTAAACCAATCAGCTCAGCGAACACAACTAATTGCAAATTATCCACCTGAGCTACAAATATACTGTATTACTAATGTGTCGAAATCATAGCTGCTACACGCATAAGCACTTATCCATAAAGTATTCCACTAAATAAATAGAATACACCATTGAAATAAACATATTCACCTTAATGATTTAAGTATTGTACACTTCCAGTAATCTCTGTGATTGAAAATTAGCAATTTCGATGACACATTTGCATCAAATAAGGCACTATCACTACAAACCTTAGAGCTTTAAATATAACTGGTCAATCTGCAAGAATATTTAGTCATTTGAAGATGCAATCCTTAGTACAGACTGACACACAGCTTTTATAATAAATAAATCAGCTGTGAGAAACTAAATGGACTGAAATCATACTGGACTGGACTATCAGTCAAATACATAAGTGAAAATAATATATGATGTTACAAATATTACTAGCGTTTATTAAGAGTAACTTACGAGGATTGGAAGAAGACAGGAAACAAAGAAACAGAACCGACTTCGTTCTTCAAGCAGCAACAGGCGAATAGCAGATTTTTCAGTGTTTTCAACTAGCTCCTTCTTAATTCCGACCTCCCGTGCAGCTTTCGCAGCCTGCACGTTTATGGCATTTGACTCAGAATTGGAACACGCAAGATTTGATGAAGGTATAATACCATGGCCCACACCAGGTCCAACACCACCACTGCCAATAATGCCAATTTTAGCAGCTTTTTTCTCCCACTTTTGTGCTTCAGCCAGAGCTTTCTTTAATTCCGCACGGACTCTTTTTGTTTGACGAGTTCTGTCTTTTTCCAACTGATACAAGTTACGCCGCCATTCATCTACCTTTGAACTGAGGGGGTTGGCAAGGCTGGTAACCAAATGACTAGAAGACAAAACACCGTATGAAAGATTAAATATGAATTTTAAAAATGGCATTAACTGCTGGAACTTTTTTCAATATCAAGTACACCTAAAAGTCCAGTACTCACATACATATATGTATATATTTATACGACACCAAATTTCCATTGTACTGAGGTGCGCGATGTGAAATTCACAGATTACTATGAATTCAAGGTGGATAAAAATTAGCATACCAAAAATAAGCTTCAAGTAAATAATAATTACTGAGTCAGCTGAGAACAAGAGTCTATGCGAAACAGATACGTACAGTTTATCAGTTGAGTAAATGTTCTAAGATTGACTGAAGGAAATTTCCTCGACTATAAGCCGTTGAGATTTATAAATGGGAACATAAATACCTTAAGCATTTATGAGGTAGCAATTACTAGCTATGTTAAAAAGGAGCATAGCTTTGCAGCTAAATTGAATGCTTATTCGAAGGAAACTTGATAGCATAGGTCGGGAAAACGAAGCAACTAGAGTATATGCCATGTGACCTACTTTACATTAAGATGCAAACCAAATGTGTGCGAACAATTCGCATCTCAAAAACGAGAAATTTCACACCCTCTCCTCAGGCAGAAATAAATAAGGGGGGGGGGGAATCGGAACGACCAACTTAAGAAATAATACGTACCCTATTGAGCGTGATGACGCATGCTAATGTACTGCTGACTGATTGACTGAGTTTCAACACTACTACGATAAAAACAAGAACAGTGCAGTTACTTATAAGTAAGCACTAGCGAAGATAATAATCCAGGATAATAATCACAAATATTGTTTAATAAACTGTTTATCACCATATACTAAACATCATCTAAAGATAGACTAAATAAAAAGCAAGACGTTATAAAAACAGAGGTAAGTGGGTGGAAAGAGACAAAATGCTTATAGGGTAGTGAGACCTTGAATTAAAATAGCGTGACTACCCCAGGCGAGCATCATTCCAATACACCTTTAACAATCGGCCATTATCACAAGGAGGATTGTAATCTATCCTCAAAAACATAATTTAACTCGCATAACATTAGAAATAGCACCAAGATTAAGCTCCTTGGCACATACGAATAAAATCTACAAAAAATATTCGAATGGCATAAAGCTGTTAGAGAACAAGGATGAAGCTATTCAACAAACTAGTTGGCTCTATTAAGTTCCCACATGGAGAGGTTTCCAACCCCATTATAACTAATAAATGACAAACTTTAAAATTTCGAGGAAAGTACACGAAACATGATAAAAGAGACTTGAACTAAACCAAGATGATTGTTTGAAACAAAAACCGCTTTACGTACCGAACTGTTGAGTTTAAGTAAATCATATGAATGAACAGTATCCTGTCTAAAAGAACACAAACTTAGACTATTTTTGAATGAGCTAGAATTTTAAGAGATGCTTGGAAACGTAAACTCTTAAATTTTAGGAGAAACACTTGTCTGAGTTCATGAATGTGAAGATCGTACGTCAGAACAAATAAATATATTGTTGATGAGGAGCACTTCACACTTTTGATTGGAGATGCAACTCTGATACTTTGGTAATACTTACTTGCTCATGGACTTCACTTTAGATTCAAGACTTTTCTGACGCATACAATATCGAGTTAGACAAGCACCAATTTCTTTACTACCACCATAGGTCTTTGTAGCTAAGTCGGCTACTTTCTGAAAAGCATCAAGGAAGGCAGATGACGCCTGCGTCGCAGCCCTGAGAAAACGATATTCGAAATTTATCAATGTTACTTTAAAGCTGAGTGAAATTTCCCACATTTTGATACAAGGTCTTCCCAAGTTTGATAGCTATTCTGAAAAACAATAATTACTATTCGAAAGAACAACCTTCAAATCATTCAACAGAGAATTTGCAATGTTTACAACATCGTCACTGTAAACCTGAGAATTATCCATCAACAATAAAGCTGGTAGTATGATAAGATAACCTAGATCAAGCACATTACAGGAACGCTCAAGGACAGTTCTCAAAACAGGCGGGAGATGCGCGTGCGACCTATGATAACCACCGAATGGTGGGTTTTAAGAAAACTGAAAAATTTCATTTTCCCCAATGATTAAGACATTTAGTGAAAAATCTAAGCTTCCTTTAGGCTTTATGATCGTATTTGATTTCAGCACCCATAAAGACATTCATTTTATAATAAAATAAACTGTCATTTCAAATTCACATTTAGATTTCATACTTTGGATTTACGATAAATAATAGGCTTCATCTTATGTTAATCCTTCTCTGATCAGCATCCGAGATTGCTTAATCCCTTTTTCCATCTATCGTTTCAGGGGGTAGACACCATTTGTTTCTAGAAGTCCCTTCCAAGTATGAGTGCCTCAGTGCCAGTACTCAACAGCCACTTATTTCTTCCTTGGCCTTTGAATTACCCTGCTTGGTTCTTCGATGTGTATCAACCTGATGGAAAATCGCTGAAAAGATATGTAGTTATACGTTACAAGTCAGAACATTCTGATTCTGTATCTTCTCTATGGTGTGACAAATACATATTTAAATTGTTAAGTCCTTCAACGTCTGGTCTTATTAGGATTCATGAGCGTGGTGTTCCTTCGAACTCTTCCAGAACACATTACGCCAACTTCATTCGTCTGTTGTACTATCGCGACTGCAATGTATTGAGATGAAGTAGATTGTAGGGGATCAAAAAGGGTTCGCAAATCAGTGGAACATCTACTGTTTCACCGCGAACGATCAATTTTTTTATCCTTGAGGATTGAAATACTCTGTAGTCAGATGGATCTTCAAGAGACGAGAGTTCGGTTGCTACGTTGTAGTTTGACTGTGTATGTTTATGTTCTCTTCATATCATCGTTAATAAATACGCTTTTTAGAAGCCGTAAGTGTTCTTTTCTCCCTTCACTAGTTTGGGCTGCATTAAGATTGGCTTTATTTTTTAAACTTTGATTACAGCTTGATGCCATACCGTATTTTCAGTACAAGTATGGAATTTTCAGCATGGATATCGGTAGCCTATATTTTGCAGGCCGACCATAGATATCGGGTGTGCGTCGGCAGGGGATCGGACCCCGGACCATGTGCATGGTCGGCGAGAGTCCTGACCACTGTGCCACCGACGCACATCAAGTTGGGTAGGCCAGGCTTAAGAGTCGGCAGACAGTGTGGCCAAAGCTTGGCTCCAGCAAAATAAACGGCAAAACAGCAACCACCAATGGCTTTCCGGTCGAAATTAGCAGGGAATGAGGCCGGAGTTGTTCAAGCAGCCTAGACGATATCTAACACTCTGAATTTGAGTCTATGGAGTTGAAGTTCGTATGAATCTCTTTCCCACGCTGTAGCTTCTGTTAAGCAAAGCTGTGAGGTCTTAAGATAGATGACTAAAAGCTGCCGCGCTTTTGTGAATTAATCGATTTGTCTTATACACAATGACGATTTCTAAGTTTACTACCATACCACTGGTTCCAAATGTTGTGTAGGATTAAGTAATGTCAACAACATCTGAGTCAACCGGGCTACTGAAATTAAGTCCTTCGTTGAACAGATTGCGCCTATTAGTGTAGCAGCCATTAAGGTGACTAAGCTTTTAACCTGGAAGATTTCGGAGCCATCAAACTTAAGACTTCCAACACCCGAGAACCCATTTTAACAAAGTTTTTCTGTAGAGAATGCGGAATGTCTTATCTGCAGTTGGTTTAGTTTGACCGATTTGGTGTTCGGATCTGGTCTAAGGATCTGGTTCGCCTCATTCCTCCACTCTATGAAAAGTGATCGACTTGTCAGAGAGATCAGATTTGCTCCGATTGCATTTCTTGCTTTGTGCGTGACACATATTATGCAGCGTTTTTGTCTAGGCTTTTACGAGGGACTTTATCTCGCCATTCATTGATATCCGCTTCTTTACTTGACTTCGGTATTGACTGCTTATGATCCACGCAGGCTACGATAGGATATGAAACTAAGGTGTCTGCGGTTCATGTAGGTTGTGCGGAAACCCTCACTATATGTTAGGCACTTTCACCTCATCTCTTCTCTTCACATTATTAGGCGTATCGAAGCTACACTTGTGTAGCAGCTACAGCTACACTTATCGGTGACACACACAGCAGCATCCTGGATATCCGACTATTGGTTTTGCTTCTTCGTGACGAGAGACCTTTATTTTCAAGATGCACCGGCCTCACTTTGAGCATTAAGATAGCCTTGTTTGTAAGGTGCGCTTTTGACCTACAGCAGCTTTTGCACAGTATGTGAGAGGCTTGTAGCAGAACTTGCATACTCCTGAAGCGTGTCTTGTAAAACCACCGATCTCAGTTAGCACACTGTGTACTATGGAGTGACATAATGTCCACTCACAACTGTTTTGGCAGCCAAGTTTTCAGAAGAATGAAATTTATTACAGTGAGGAAAGATGTAGGCTGTTGTTTGAAAACGAAGCTGAATTATCACAGTACAAAAATAGAATTTCAATCATACAGCAACAGACGTGGTAACCTAAAACGGAACCTCATTACTTATAAAAAAGACTAACTCTAACAAGAATAACTTCGTTTGAAGTATGTCTTTAAGCTTTTGCGGTGTGTAAGACAACAAAAACGTGTGAAAATACACACTAGTTCTGGAGATCGCCTTTTATTTGAAAATTTATATATGTGTATATTCAGTTCTATAATCATATGTTTTGGGGGAGTATGCTAGTGATTTTTAATTGAGTTTCCGCTTGTCTAGTCCTTTTATGGAACCATCAGTTTCTGCTGAAAGCACTTTTTCTGTGAGGGTTGGTCCAAAAGTATGTGGTTCGGGTGGCAAACCAGTACTCCGTAGTAATATAAGTTATCCTTGGCATATCAGCTGTCATATCGTTTCCTCTTGGATATTTCAGCCTAGTGGAAAGGAAAAGAGAATGTGGTTGTATTAGCCTTCAGTTTTATTGGCGTTAGCTACTTGTTATTCCGCATAAGTCCTAGAGCCTTAGTATCTTCTAACACACTTTTCCCCTCAACTGCAACAGGCCTAATGGACGCAGTAACAGGAGCATTGGATGTGTGGTTTGTTCCATAACAGTGGTGCTGCTTTGATTTCCCTTCCACTATTAGCCATTGGGTTAGACGAACAAATACCGTTAAGAAACTTATGCCCACTGAGTGGGAATGGAATCGGCGGAATGAGTAGACGAAACCAGTAGAAAATGGGACAAGAGGACTGGCTGTAAGAGATAAAACAGTGGAGACACATGAGTTGTAAAAATGGAAGGGAACAGAGGACAGGCTAGAGATAAATTAAATTAGAATAGAATGGGGCAGTGAGTAAAAATAGATGGGATATTTTAGGTACCATTGCTGGTGATTAGAATTAATGTGCTCAAACCGGTGTTTTTGCGCATAATACCTTATCCTTCTCTTAAATGTTTCTACGTTGGCTAGCAGTGAATTCCGTCTGTGACAAATCCTAGGCGAGAAGAAATTCGGCCTTACCTCTGTTGCTACTGTCTGCTAAGCAATACTGTGAAGTCAACCCCAAGGGTGCCGTTGTGCTCTTTCGTTAAACTATCTCAGTGTGGGTTATGCATTATCTCAAACATTATGATTTAATCATCCCCAGTTCTACGGTAGCTGCGAGTATAGAGATGCAGGATTCTGAGCCGGTCATCATATTACTGGTATTTTGTCCCACTGGTGATTGTGGTGGCCCTCATATCTAAGTTATTTTAAGAGGATGGTGTCTTCCTTTAGGAGTTGTGATGCGGTGACTCCCATACATGACCGAACAACAACATGAAAAATCCAGGTGTATGTGCGCCTAGTTCCTTACTCACGAAGCAAGGGGCTTTCGCAGCCTTGATGCACATCCTAGATAATTTGTTGAAAAACTGAGTAAATAAAAGAAGGTCCTGGTACCTACAAGCTCATAGCTTTGTACCAACTATTAGAAAGGGGGGAGTGGAGTGGATCCTTATTGTTTATTACCAACAATAAATTTATTTGTTGCAAGTGAATAAGTTAATCGTGATTTCGAAACATTTCAATTTAATGAGCAATCGTATATGAAACAACTCATCAAGTGATTTTCTAAAATCTGGAACGACAACGTTGACAGGTTTCTTGCCATCTAGTTTTAACCTGCCTTTATTAGGTTTGTCAAAAGGAAACGTCTCTACGAAATTTAATCTGTGTGACGCATAACAGATCATCCCAGGTTATCTACGGCATCTTTCTTTATTACTCTTCGCTGTATCTTAATTATGGCTTATAGGACTTTAGTTTGAGAGACTATGCCTAGATCCGTCGCTGCGCATTCTTCCAGAAAAAACTAGCACTTTATGTGACAGACATTTAGAGGCGGCGAATACTGACGCTCACGGATAGTGCGAAGTGTGCTAAAGCAAGGTCTAATACCCACAACTTCTTTAGTATTCGTTCTGCGCAGACCAAAGGCAAAGCAAAACACAAGAAGTGATCGTCCAAATTACAAGATATATTTTGAGACCAAATCTGAGTGCGAGATAATTGCTAGCTAGGGGTCGTGCACGAACGAACGAACGTGACACAACGGAGTACCAAATGGCGTGGATGCTTGACCGGAAGCCTTCAGCTAAACAGGCTGACTTAAACAGTGAGGGTCAGCATCCAATGTTTAGTGATGGAGGCTGTGCCCAATAATTTTGGGGAATTACTTACCGCTATAGCTCACTCCCCCCTAGTGAGGTTGTGAGGACCCTAAGACAAAACCAGCCGGAAGTAAACAACCCAATGGCTTACCCATCGGCAAAACTCTCCCGATCCGCTTGATGTAGTGCCTACTGGTCGCCTACTTATGCTAATAGGGTGCCTGTACATCGCTTCGTTTATGTTTGTCCGTTGGTTCTCGTGCTTCGTTTGCTTCCTGTCCAGTGCTCGTTGCACCTGGAAAAGGAAACAAGAATGCTGAGAACCTTGTCGAGGAAAATGTAACAAAAGAAACCTTTGAATAATGTTATGCATTTACCGTACAGTGAAATAATGCGAAAATAGAACATCGAGAAAAGTGTATATCTAATTTTTTAGTGGATGTAACATATACGGTTATACAAAAACTTTAACTTGTGTTGCGGGATGCAATATAAAAAATTGATGTGTCT